CCCATGCGGAAGTGGCTTAAGCTTCTTAGTGCTGTGCTTTAACCCGCTGCGCCACCACGGAGGGCCAATGAAGTATACTGCTGAGGGGAGCAGTGGGGAGACAGGGGAGGTCTGCTGCGCCCTGTGGGTTACCTCCAGGGCAGGGATCGAACTCGCAGCAAAACAGCTGCGGCCAGCTTCGCAGTGCTGCATTTTAACCCACTGTACCACCAGGGAGGGCCTCTCATAGGATTTTTTAAAAGGATTGGTGAAGTGTAATCAGGTGAACAGAGCCTTCAAAGACACCCACAGCCTGAACAGTGATGTCACTTGACGTGGCCAAGGGATTTTACAGGTGATACTGAGTTGGGGACCCTGAGCTAGAGGAGGATCCGGGATTCCTAGGGGCACAGTGTCCTCACAGGGTCTTTACAGAAGAAGGAGGAGGGTCCCCTGGAGCCTTGGAGGAGCTGACCTGCCCACACCTGGGCTTAGCTCCAGTGGCTGTGACGTGAGATAACAAATTTGGCCCGTTTTAAAATGGAGGTAGGTGGTGGTTTCTTCCAACAGCCCCAGGACACTCCTGTGTGCATTGATGGCAGGTTCAGGGTCTGGGTGGCCCTGTGCGTGAGGACCTGTCCATCTTCCTCCATGGAGAGCTCAGCGGTACATCGAGACCACACGGCACGTTGATATGCTCCATGGAGTGTGCAGGCTAAAGCATTTCACACCTGCTTTTTTTTTTTGAATTTTATTTTTATTATAATAGTTTATTTTTACATCATTTTGTGCCTTTTTCCATCTCAGTTCTAATCCCCGTGGACTTCCCATCACCAAATCACCCGTGTGCCATCGCCATCCCATTCCCTACTCTACCCCGTAAAATGTCTCTGGTATATTGTTGTTCATTATTCCCCCCCCCTCATGCCCCTGCTATGAGTGAAACAAATTGGTAAGTTTCTTTCTCTTTCTGGCTTATCTCACTCAGCATGATCCCTCCCAGCTCCACCCATGTTGCTGCAAAAGGCCTGAGCTTATCTTTTTTGGTTGCCGAGTAATATTCCATTGTGTATATGTGCCACCTCTTTTTAATCCAGTCACCTACTTTTGGGCATTTGGCTCAATTCCATGTCTTTCCTGTTGTAAAGAAAGCAGCAATAAACAAGGAGGTGCACACACCTGCATGTTTTAAAATGAAACTTTAGGGGACTTCCCTGGTGGTCTAGGGGTTAAGTCTCAGGACTATTACCGGGGTGGCCTGAGTTCGATCCCTGGGAGTGACCCACAGGGCACAACAGACCCCTCCTGCTGCTCCCCTCAGCAGTGGGCTTCAGTAGATCCACCTGTTCTGCTCCCCACTCTGTCTCTGGGGAGTCCTCTCACCCCCACCCCCCAGACCTCTGGCCTGTACCCCAGTTCTGCGAGCATAAATATTTAAAAACAAAAGAATTGAGTCTCCTTTTATCGCCCTTCAGTGCTGTTTTCCAGCGTGGCCGTCCCGCTGCGGTGACTCAGGGAGAGAGTCAGCAGGCCTCTGGGCTGGGCAGCAGGCAGCAAGAAGGGGTGCACGCAAGAAGCAGCCAGGTCTAAGCTGGGGCCAGAAGCAGGCTAAGGAGGGTGGAGGTGCTGGGCCCCAAACGCGCACAGCTGCCGGCTCTTGATAAGGAGCAGCCGGTGCCAACCGTCCCTGGCACAGGCTCCCGAGAGCTGCCCAGCACTCTCAACCCACGCCAGGCGGGGGTTGGCTCACCCTGGCGGCTTTTTATTTTCTCTTATTTACATTTTGTACTTTTTTTTTTTTTAAAGATTTATTTATTTATTCATACAGAACTGGGGTACAGGCCAGAGATGCGGAGGGTGAGAGGATTCACCAGGGACAGAGTGGGGAGCAGAACAGGCAGATCAACGAAGTACACTGCTGAGGGGAGCAGCGGGCGGGTCAGGAGAGGTCTGCCACGCCATGTGGTCACCTCCGGGGCAGGCGGGGATCGAACCCATGCGGAAGTGGCTTTGGCTTCTTAGTGCGGTGCTTTAACCCGCTGCGCCACCAGGGAGGGCCCTACATTTTGTACTTTTGACCTGCTGCATACACTTTGCAACATTTGAAACATCTTTCCAAAGTTTCCATCTAGAAAATGATCTGTCCTTTCACTGACTAAATGGAATTGTTCCGCCATATATCCAGCCTCACACTCCCAGGCCTCTGCTGCAGCGATCTGGTCTTCATGGCCATGAAATTTTTTTTTATATAAATCTTTTTTCTTAAGGTTTATTTATTTATGCAGACAGAACTGGGGTACAGGACAGAGGTGCAGGGGTGGTGAAAGGATCCACCAGAGACAGAGTGGGGAGCAGAGCAGGCAGATTAACAAAGTGCACTGCTGAGGGGAGCCGGGGGCGGGTCAGGAGAGGTCTGCCGCGCCCTGTGGGTAACTCCGGGGCGGGCGAGGATCGAACAAGTGCTGAAGCTGCACAGCCCACTTCGCAATGCTGCGCTCCCACCTGCTGCACCACCAGGGCCTAAATGTATGACTTGATTATTTTAGTCCACTCGCAGATGGCTAAAACCATCCCCACGACAATTTTAAAACATCCCATCACCCCAGAAAGAAGCTCTGCGTCCTTCACCAGACCTACCAGTACCAGGCTCCTCGAGCCCACTTCCTGTCACTGGACGTTTCTGGTCTCTGGTCGGAGGACTCACGTGCCCTGTGGCCACATGTGTCTGGCTTCTTCCCCCAGCAGGGTGTGTCCAGGCCCAGCCACCCACTGTGGGTGTAGCCTTTTCCCTAGTATATAAAGCGTGTCTAATTGGTCACTTTTATTGCTCATAGAACATTCCACTTTCTCCTCTATTTAAACTACCACGGTTTACTTAAGTCATCTCCATTGTGAGAATTTGGGTGGTTTCCAGTTATCACACTAGGGATGGCTCTGTTGCTGTTACACATTTGTGGCATTCCAGATCATTTTCTGAAGATCAATTTCTAGAATTTCTACTCTAGACCAAAGAAATAGCTATTACCTAAACCTTCTAGAACTTTGTAGTCCTTCACTCTCCCACAGAACATAGGAAAAGACTGATTTGCAACCAATCACCTCACACTAAGCAGAGCTATCATTAGGCAAACAGGCACCCACACACCCAAGCCTTACTGCACTGACCTGGCGTGGGGCTGAGAAGTTTCCATGCGAGTGTGGTTTCTTCCTCTGTGTTTATGCTAATCAGGCCGGGCTGGGGTTCTGCTGCAAGACAAGCAGCCCCTAGCTTAAAACAAGAAGGCTTTACCACAGGGCCATACCTCTGGCGGTGGACGCAACAAGGAGACCACTGTTTAAAGGAAAAAAGGAAAACAAGTATGGTGAGGGTGTGAGGAAATTAGAGCCCTTGTGCACTACTGCCGCGGAGGGCATATAAATGTATATTATGTGTACTTTCAGAGAAGATTTCTGGGCCCTCCCTGGTGTTGCAGTGGGCGATAGCTCAGCACTGTGAGACTGTCCACAGCCACTGCAGTGTGAGTTTGACCCCCGACCAGGGAGGTGACCCCCAGAGCATGGTAGACCTCGCTCAGGGGATCCGCCTGTTCTGCTCCCCACTCTGTCGCTGGTGAATCCTCTCGCCGCCCTGAGCCTCTGGCCTGTACCCCAGTTCTGTATGAATAAATAAATAAATCTTAAAAAAAAAAGGAAAGCAGGGGTCCTCCCCGGTGGCGCAGGGGGTTAAGTGCAGCACTGTGAAGCCGCCCGCAGCTACTGCAGTGCAAGTTCGATCCCCGGCCAGGGAGTGACCCACAGGGTACGGCAGACCTCTCCTGTCTCCCCGCTGCTCCCCTCAGAGCAGTGGTGTATTTCAGGGGATCCGCCTGTTCTGCTCCCCCCTCTGTCTCTGGTGAATCCTCTTGCCCCTGTACCTCTAGCCTGTACCCCAGTTCTTGTGTGCATAAATAAATAAACCTAAAAAAAATAAAACACCAAGGCCTGAACTGAAGCCATGGACACGCATGTGCAGCGTAGCATACCACAACAGCACGCGTGAATGGAGGGACACACAGGGGACCGTCACTCGGCATGATGGGGGGCAGCCCCGACACTTGAGGCCACATGACGCTTGGGAGAGAAGCCAGACACACAAGGCCACACGGCGTGAGTCCACTGGCGAGAAATGTCCAGGACAGGAGCAGCCCGAGAGTGGGCTCCTGGCGTTAGCCATGGGGAGAGGTTTCCTCTTGGGGTGATGGAATGTTCTAGAATTAAATGACTGACTAAATAGCATGGTGCTGGGTGCACCGTGTGAATGAGCAGCGCTGACCTGTACAGTGGAGAGTGGATTATGTGGCCCGAGGCTGATAGCGCCATAAAACTGCCACCAGAGCTAAAAAGAAGAGACCCTGTGCTGGGGCCAGGCAGTGGGCGGTCGAGTTAGGACTGGGCAGAGGTGGCGAGCCGGTCGCTGGGTGACTGAAAACCACCCCACAGGTGCCGAGTGTCTGTGGAACAAAGATGAGCTTGTTTCAGGCTCACCAGCAGTGGTGCTCTCCAGATGAGGACTCTGAGGCTTCTCAGGGGCCGTCGCGTCTGGTCATCAGCAGAGCCTGCGCCCCGCGGCGCAGTCCTGGGGGGTGTCCAGGAAGTCCTCCCCGACACCGCCGGGCGGCGGAGGCCACTCTGGCCTACCCTCCCACGGCCTCCGAGGACAGGGCCTCGGCTGCTGAGCTGTGCGGAGTCCGGCACCAGATCAGAGGGAGGAGAAGGCATGGCGACTTCCTTTTGTGGGCGCACTCATCCTTGGTACCCCCTTTTCCAAGGCTCAGAGACAGGACGCAAGGGCTTCTGGGTCAAGGAGGCCAGCTGGTGCTGCTGGGGGTGGGGCTGCCCCTCGCCAGTGCCCAGTCACGGGGCCTCCTCCCCGTCTTGCCCTGGCTGCGGAGCTGATTGGCGTCGCCTGCTGCCTCCGGCCACCTGTTGCAGTCTGTCGCGGGGCCACCCGCCCAGAGTTCCATCCCGTCCACTTGGCCAGGCGCGGAGGCTGTAGGGTAAGTGGGGCTGGGGAGGTCTAGGCAGAAACGGGGGTCCTCAGGGGCTGTGCAGGTCATCTTTGAGGTCGGTGGGAGTCCCCAACCCCTGTGCCCCCCCTACACGTGAGACTGTGCCCATTGGGCCCCTCCCATGGCCGTGCTCCAGTCGCAGGGACAGGTCCCCTCTCTACCCAGGAAAGGGATTTCCTAATGCTGGTAGCTCGTGGCACTGGACCCCCAAAAAACAAGCTTTGGGAAGCTGACAGGCTTGGGTCCGACCTCTGATCAAGCTGTCATGGCCAGGCTCAGGATCGCCTGGCCCGTGGGAGACGGCACCCGTGCGCGAGGAGGCAGGAACCCCACCGCCAGGGCTTCCTGCCTGTCACAGCAGAGAAAGGCCAGGCCTGGCTGCTGGGGCCTGAAGGCTTAGATTTAGGGGCTCAGCATGGGGAGCTGGGGCTCCTAATACGGCAAGTGATGATGGTCCAGCAGGAAACCCCCTGGGTCAGAGGCCTGGGAGGGGCTGGGCCATGCCTGCATGTCTCGCTGACCTCAGGCACCAGATAAAAATAGCCCCTGGCCTCAGAGACATGAGCTGACCCCCGGCGCAGGCTTACATTTTGCCATGGTCACGGCTAATTTCTGTGTGCCCTCCTTGGGCCCCAGCCGCCTCTGAGACCTGCCCAGGGGCGCTGGGAAGTCTGGTACAGGGAGGGGCCCCAAGGTGGTGGTGGAGGGGAGCAGGGCAGGGCAGGCGCCTGGGGTGCTGGGCTGCAGCCCAAGCTCCATGCAAGGGGCTCCAGGCAGGGGGTAAGCAAGGGCTGGCAGAGGAGGGGCCCTGCTCACTTGCAGGGTCACAGCCGCCCCCCAGCAGCCCAGCTCCACAGCAGGCTCAATAAATACCGGCCCCTCTTCCCATGCTCCCCCCCTCCCAGCTCGCCTCGGACCTGGCCTCCCCGGAAGACACCATGACAACCAGGGCCTTGGAGGATGGAGCCCTGGGCGGCTGCCAGGCAAGTAAGGACCTCTCTACACTGGCTGACCCCTACCCAGGCCAGCCCCAGAGGACAGGTGTTGAGGTGCCTGCAGGGTGTGGGCAGGATGAAGTCCACATCCTCCCACTGGGCCAGGGGCTCCCCTCCAGGGGCCAGGAGTTGGACTGGCACCTTGGGGTGGTTTATATTCTGCTGCTTTTTCCAGCCTCTGTGCCCATTAGTGCCCTGCGGGCCTGGAAGGAGCCCAGAGGACACAGGTGTCAGGTCACGTGGAAGGGGGCAGCTCCAGGTTGCTAGCAAAGCCCTTGGGCGGGGTTACCTCTTGGCCCATCTGCCCTCTAGTCTGGAAAATGGGAGCAGGCACCCCCCTTGCCCCTCACGAGCCAGCCGAGGTGGGTTGGCCTGGGGGAACCCCACCATCTTGAGCTCCCTCTTCGCCCAGACAGGCCACTTCCAGCAGCTGGCCCCAGTGAGTAGCCAGAGCTGCCGGGTTTCAGCCCAGGACTCCCCTGGGGGTGGATTTCTGTCCCTGAGAGAAGGGGCCCACTCCCCGTAGGATGCCTGGAGTCCCCTGCTGAGGGCCAGCATCTGCGAAGGAGATGAAAGCCTGGGCAAGCGGGTTTGCAGGAGCAAGGCCGGGGTGGGCATGGACTGGCCGGGTCTCTGCGCAGGGCCCTTGCCTCTGCAGGCAGCGGTGAGAGGGCCCCTCCGTGCTGTCTGGCTGCCTGAGGGAATTCATGATCTCCCCTGCCAAGGTGACCTTGCTAACTAGAACAACTCTCCATCTCAGCGAAGCTGCCAATCACCCACCGGTGCGCAGCACACGCGGGGAGCTGAGGAGCTGAGGTGGTTTGCCCTTTGGTCGCGGCTCTCAGCCCCACCCTTGGCTTCCGCAGCGCCCCGGAGCCCCGCGCGGAGGAAGCCCCAGGCCGCTCCCCCGCCGCCGCCGCCGCCGCCGCCGCCCCCAGCCGCCGAGGAGCTGCCCTGGGGGGACCTGTCTCTCAACAAGTGTCTGGTGCTAGCCTCGGTGGTGGCGCTGCTGGGCGGGGCTTTCCAGCTGTGCCGCGGTGAGCCGAGCCCCCCAGACGTGACTCCTCAGAGGAGCGCCTGCACCCCAAAGACGGGGTCCCGGAGCCTCAAATCTGGGAATGGGTCGTGCACAGGGGTCCTACTCCTCCCTACCCCGCCTGGTGCACCCCTACCAGGAGGGGCTCAAGCGCCCTGCGCTGGGCCTGGGCTTGCCTCCAGGCAGCTTGGCGAGTGCCCGTCCCCCCTCCTCGGTGGCCCGAGCACTGCAAGGGATGGAGGAGGGGGCAGGGCAGAGCCGTTACCCCACCCCTCCCCCACCGGGGCGAGCCACCTTCCTGCTCACTAGGGCATCCCCGCGGCCTGCGGAGAAAATGACCGTTTGCAATCTGGATGAGAGAGGTTTGAAGGGGAGCGGGGCGCACCGCCGCAGAACCCAGATCCCGCTCAGAGGGCTGAGGCAGAGGACTGGGGTCCAGCCTCGGAGACCCTGCGGTCGGCTGGGCCCCTGCCTGTCCCCGGGAAGAGAGCCCTAGGGATGAAGACCGGAGGCCGGTGGTGGGGGCCTGCCCTTGGTTGACTCGCGTCCCCTCCCTCCCCTCCTAGACTCGGTGTCTTGGGAGGCGAGTGTCCCTGCACCTGTCGCTGAGCCATGGGTGCCCCCCAGCTCCGCCCCCAAGGAGCCAGCAGCGTTGCCCCAGGTAAGCGCCTGTCACAGGACCGGACGGTGTCGCCCTGCCCCTGGCCAGCTGGGGGCGCTCTCCGCCGACCCTACTCTGTTCACCTTGAAGCCGAAGCCGGGGGCCCGCGCCCAGCCGTCGGGACGGCCCGAGCCCCAGCGCCAGGCGGAGAGGGCTGAGGCCCCCAGGAGCAGGGAGGCCGCGGAGAAGGACCAAGGGAAACCTGCGGGAGACGCGGCGGCCGAAGCCGAGCCGCGCACTCAGCGCGGGCCCCGGGAGAGGCGGGGGCAGGAGAGGCCCCGGGAGGAGCGGGCGCCGAAGGAGAAGCGGCCGCGCAAGGAGAAGCAGCGGTGGGAGGAGAAGCCGCAGAAGGAGCAGCGGCGGGAGCCCGGGGAAGCTCCACTCCGGCGCCGGGAGGCACAGGAAGGGGGCCAGGGGCCGTGGGCAAGGGTCTCCGCTGACCCCAAGCACAGGAAGAGGCAGGCGTGGGCCTCCTCGCGGCTTTCCGAGGAGGAGGACCGGCCCCCCGGCCGCCCGAAACGCCGCCCCGGCAAGGGGCGGGACTGAGCCGCACCCCAGTCGGGTCTCCGCCAAAATAAAGCGAAATCGCCTGCTTCTTTGCCCCGACGCTGGAACCGCTTCTAGGCCTCAGTGACTGGGTTGGGGAGCGGCAGAGGTGGGCAGGGCCGGAAGGCGGTGGCCGCGATGGGGTGACCGCCAGCAGCCGAGAAGCCGGTGAAGCCCCGCGCCCTCGCGTCTACCTGCTCCAGCGCACACGAGGGCACCCCTGGGTCTTGCTGGCCTTTATTGATGATCGGGTCCGAATAAATACAGGCAGGGCCACCGCCGGCCTCTGGGCCAGGAGTGCGCGCGGGAGTCAGCGGCAGCCGCACTCGGTGGCCACCATGTTGGGCACGTGGTGCGCGCTGATGCGCTCCTCCGACAGGCTGATGAGGAGCTTGCCCGCGTAGGCTGTGGGCACGCAGCAGGGCGGGCGCGCCAGGGCGGCGCCGCGCGCCTGCATCTTGAGCAGCAGCACCACGTGGTTGCCATAGCTCGGGTTTCGGTCGGACTGCGGCCACCCGCACGTGCCCTGGCAGTTGTTGGCCTGGTACGTCTCGGGTATAAGCACCGAGGGCTCGGCACGCAGGTCCACTCTGAGCTCTCGCAGCGTGCACGGCCCGTCCACAGCGCTGGCCCCGGCGCTGCGCTGTGCCCGCAGGGGCCCGCTGCCCTCCTGCCCACGCCACTCGGCCCGCAGGCCCTGCAGGGCTTTCAGGAGCAACAACGCACGTAGCGGGCCGCCGGGGCCGCCCAGGTCCCCCGAGTTCCCCCGGCACAGCGTGAGCAGGCGCGCCAGGAGTGGTGCGGCAGCCGCAGGCAGCCCCGAGAGACCGCGCAGCTCGGCCCGCAGGCCCTGCAGGGCTTTCAGGAGCAACAACGCACGTAGCGGGCCGCCGGGGCCGCCCAGGTCCCCCGAGTTCCCCCGGCACAGCGCGAGCAGGCGCGCCAGGAGTGGTGCGGCAGCCGCAGGCAGCCCCGAGAGACCGCGCAGCTCGGCGGCTGCTGCCTGCAGCTCATTGCCCACGCGGAGCCCCAGACCCGCGGCCCACGGCGCGGAGGCGCGCTCCGGGGGTGGTGTGGGGCTTCCGGCGGTGGCCGCAGCGGGCGGCATTAGCAGCAGCAGCGGCTCCTCACCGTGGAGCAGGCGATCCAGGGCCGCGGGGTCCGACAGGTTGACCAGGCCCTGCGGGAAGCCGGCCAGCGCACCCGGGTCCAGGGCCAGGCGTGGCGGCCAGGCCCGGGCCCGGGGCCCCCGCAGCGCCCGCACTAGGCGGGTGAGTGTCTCCAGGAAGGGGTCGGCAGCAGGCAGTGGTTCCTCAGGGTCCCGGGATGGCCTGGAATGCCGGTGGTGGGCTGAGAGCTGCCGCCAGGCCTCGTCCCGCCCCACCGTCCACCCACCACCCGTCTGGCGCACCTGGGCGGTGGAAAGGGCATGGTGTCCAGCCGACCATGCGCCGGCTGCAGCGTCTGCCTGGGCCAGGGCAGCAGGAGCAGGACCGGGGTCATTCTCGTGAAGCTGCGGGGGTCGGCACCGAACAGCAGCCCCTGCAGCTGGGGGATGCTCAGGGGGACACCTACTGGGGTGCCAGGGACTGGCTCAGACAGGGGAACCAGAGCAGCCAGCCCCACTTCGTCCTGTCCCTCAGGGCACCCGCCTACCGTCTCCGCGGAGCCGCAGGGTCAGGGTGAGCCCAGGGCCACGCCAGGCCTCTGCAGGGTGATCCACGACCAGCGCCAGGTAGCGCGTGTCCAGGGAAGGGCAGAGGCTCTGCGGACATTGACAACCTGGACGCTGCACCTCATCCAAAGGCCCAGGCCTGTAAGCTCCCGCCCCTCCCCTGTGCTGAGGCCTCAAGTGGTGTGGAGACAGCCCCTCAACTCCCTCCTACCGTACCTGGGTACCAGGTAGCCCAGCCCCAGTGACGGTGACCTCGGGACTGGGCCCAGGGTACAGCACCAGCAGCGCCAGCTCTGGGGAGCTGGGTCCTCCGGGTGGCGGCTCCTGGAACCTCAGAGACGGTGTTGGCTTCCATGTCACTGCAGCAGGGGCAGGGCACGGCAAGGCGACATCTGAACCAGAGGCCTGAGCCTCTCCCCTGAGCATGGCAGGCAGTCCTGCAGGGAGACTCCCCTACCCGCCCCACGAGCCTTGGACAGTCTGGTGAGACTTGGGGGGCTCCCGAGCATGGGGTTCGTCCTGGGGTGAGACAGCGCTGGGTCTGTGTGGGGATATTCTGGGGCGGCTCCAAGGGTCATCCAGTTAGCCCCTTTCCTGGCAGTGGGTCCCCAAGGTCCTTGGGGACTGGCCACCTCCCACCCCTGCTGCCTCTGTGTGGGAAGGACTGCTCAGGGAACCTTCAGGTTCTGCAAGCTCCACCCCCTTCCTGGGCAAAGGTGGCATGGAAGTGTTGGCAGCATACAGCCTACAGGGCTGGCAGAGATCGGGGCAGCCAAGCCCCTGGTCATGGGCCCACCACCCAGCCTAGAGAGCCAGCTGGAGGGGGCCAGTCCCACTGGACCTGGCAGGAAGGCGGTTGTGGTTCAATGAAGCAGCTGTTGGAAACGAAAGCGCGTCTCAGCCGCAGCCACCTCCACCCCTGGCCGCGGCCCAGACCTACCTTCCTCCAGGTGCAGGACCACCAGCCGTTGGCCCCCAGGTCCTCCCAGCCAAGCTCCCAGGCGTTGCAGCGAGGGGAAGGCTGCCTGCCTGTCGCTCGGGGAACAGACCCCGAAGGTGGCCAGGTCATGGGGGTCCCAGTGGGCTCGCCGCACAGCCTCCAGGAAGGCCTGCTCATAGCTGCTTGGCACCCCCACCACCTGCAGGAGTGGGGTGCTGCTGCCATTACTGCCCCCGTCCAGCGTCACTAGGCACAGGGAATCCCGCGAATGGCCTGGCAGCCGGTTGCCTCCAGGTGGCCAGTCCCAGTCTTGGCGGAAGAGGGGACCCCCGGGGCCCACAGCTGGCTCCTGGGGCGGGGTCTGGGCCCTTGACACCTCTTCTCCCGGGACCCCCAGCAGGACCCCCATTGCCAGCAGCTCCAGGGCCAACAGGGAAGGAGGCAAGCCCTGCATGGTGGGTGCTGTGAGGGGCAGTGAGCCCCAACTTATATGAGCTGAGCTGGAATGTGAGGGCAGCACTATCTCCTCTGGGACACGACCTTGGGGCACCGAGGTCCAGAGCCCCAGCATGAAACCTGCAGCCGCCTTCTCGCAGGCCCTCTGTTCCCAGGCTGCCTATCTCGCAGGCACAAAGCCGGCAGCTGACCCACTTGTCCACGCGTGGCCTTGAGCTCTTCCCGGCAGCCAGGCCTGGGAAGGGGGTTGGCTGCTATCTGCACCCCCAGGTCAAGCAGGTGGGCAGGCCCAGCGGGAGGATGGCCCAGCGGCGGGTCCCAGGGACACAAGCACCCAGGCTGGAGGCACGAGAACAAGGAGCCTTCATGTGACTCCTCCCTGCGTGGGACCCCAGGCTGCCCAGGCTGGCAGGGTTCGTCCTCCAATCAGTGATGACCTGCCAGACCCTGAAGCACTGGCCCCCACCCCACCCCGCCACCCCTCACCCCAACACAGCAATCCAGCCACGCATCAAGGTAACTGTTTAATGGGTTCTGAGGCACCAACTCTTTTTCAGTGGAAACACAGGGGAAAAATGGCCCAGCCTTGCTGGAGGCAGGGACAAGGGCTTTCAGTTGGCAGGGGGAGGGGGAGGGATATTCCCAGGGCCGTCGGAGGGCAGTGGGGGCCTCAGCATTGGGGGCATGGGGGCTGGGGGGTGTACACCAGGGTTTGAGGGGTGAACTCCGGGAGGCTGGGGGTGGACCCCAGGAGCTGCAGGATGGACTCCAGGAGCTGCTGGGTGGACCCCAGGGGGTGGGGGGTGGACCCCAGGAGGTTGGGGGTGGATCCCTGGGGCTGGTGGATGGACTCCGGGAGCTGGAGGATGGACCCCTGGAGCCTGGGGGTGCACCGCAGGGGCTGGTGGGTGCACCCCTGGAGCCTGGGGGTGAACCCCTGCAGCTGGGGGAGGGTGAACTCCTGGGGCTGGTGGATGAACCCCTGGGGCTGGAGGATGGACACCGGGAGCAGGGGGGTGGACCCCAGAAGTAGGTGGGTGGACCACTGGTGCTGCGGGGTGAACCCCAGGTGCAGGAGGGTGGACTCCAGAGGCTGGCGGGTGGACTACTGGAGCTGGGGGGTGGACCCCAGGAGCAGGAGGGGGTAGCTGGGGAGGGCCTGGGGGCCCCGATGGAGCAGGCCCACTGGGGGGCATGGGTGGCAGTGGCAAGCCTCCTGGCGGGGGTGGAGGCAGAGACTCAGGCAGCGGGGGGCGAGGGGGCAGGCCGTTCATCAGCGGGGGCGGAGGCCGCTTCACTCCAGGAGGCCCGGCAGGCAGGCTCGGAGGGGCCGGGGGCTTCTCCATCTTAAAGTGGAACTGCAGGAAGAACTGGAGACAGAGCAGAGTGAGCAGGAAGCCCCAGGCCTTGGGCAGGGACCGTGTGGCCACTGGGAGGCCCTGGAACGTCTAGGCCCAGAGCCACTACTCACCTGCTTGGTTTCCCGGTTCCAGTGAGTCCAAAATTTGCCTTCAGCCTTATCAATCTCCCTGCTGGGCACCTGGGAGCAGGGAAAGGGGGTCTTTGGGGCTGCCTGACTGCGCTTCGGGAGGGTGTGCTTTGTCCCTGCCCAGCAACCACTCCAGCTTCCCCTTCACCGCTCCCCTCACTCCTGAGGCAGAGGCCTGACAGAGCATCCACGTGGGCTGGAAGCCCTCACCCGGACTGCAGACCCTTCCTGCTGCCCTGCCCACGGGGCCCTGTGGGGGCCAGATGGACGGGGCCCACAGGGCCGGAGTCCCCGGTGCTACCTTGAAGGCAATGGTCTCATAGGGCTCGGCAGCCATCAGCAGGTACTGCCAGCGCCGGTCCGGGGGCTCGATCCTCTGCTCGTAGGCGGACATGAAGCGGTGGCGGGGCATGATGCCCTCGGCGATCTCAGGGTAGTCGATCTGCAGGGACAGACAGTAGCAACAGCATCTTACGGGGGGCCAAAACCAACCCCCCAGGGCCAGACCCCAGGCCTCATCTCACCTGAAAGAGGAGACTCTGCTGGCCCATGTCCGTGTCCCTCTGCTTGGTCACTGCAACACCCAAGGATCTTAAGTCCAGGCCACTGAACCCCTGGAGCTCAGGGCCCCGGGTGACCTAACACTGGGTGGTGCCTGGCTGGGCGAGTGGAGCTATGGCAACAGTCCTCTTTGGGGCTGTGGTGGGGATGTCTGTGGTGCAGGTGTGGGGGTGGGGTAGATTCTCTGCAGCCTTTACCCCCAGAAGCCTGGGACGGCACTAAGCCAACTGGGGCAAGCAAAATCCCTACCCGCCTTGCAGGAATAGGTACCCTCTGGCTTGGTCAGTGGCCCCCTAGGCCCCCTGGTGTTCCCCACAATCTCTAGGCAGAGGTCCTCCAAAACCAGAGCCACCCCCAGCCCCTCCCAGACAGACTAAATCACCTAACATGGTCACCTTTGGTGGGCTCCCCACACAAGTCTGGGGCCACCCGGTAACCTACCTCAGGACCTTCACACTGCCCCAGCGTCCTCTGCGGACGCGCCTGCCAGCTAGCCCTCCTTCCTTCTCTGTGGTTCCCAGTGACTGCCGTGTGCTCCAGCCGGGCCACCAGCTCCCCGAGGCAGGCGACCCTCCCCCAGGTGCCTTCAACACAGCCGTTCCTGTGCCTGCCTCTCTTTTAGGGTAAAGGTCCAGGGTCAAAGGAAAGGGATGCACCCCACACCCCTTCATCTCCACAAGGAACAGAAAGAACTAAGAGCTTCTGTGACACCCTAAAAGCAGCTGAAGGGGAAGTCTACATCCAGAGGAGGGCCCGAGGTGAGATGAGACACTGGCCCCAGGGCCGGGGGCCTCACGAGGCGCCCCTTCCACACAGGCCTACCTTTGTAGCCAGGGCGGCCAATCTTCACAAACTTCTTGACCTCCACCTTGACCTTCTCTGGCGCTGGCTGGGCAGGGGCCTCCTTAGCCTCCTTGGCCGCTCGCCGGGCCCTGCAGGTGGGATGACAAAGGAGCTGTGGCCTCCAACAAGCTGCCAAGGTCGCAGGCCCAGGTGCTGGCAGCCACCCTCACCCCCACGCCGACCGTGAGGCTGTCTGAGGCGAGGGGACAGGCCCAGGCCTGCGTGACCGTCACTGGCACTGAAGGGACTGAGATACTCACAGGTTGGTCTGATGCTTTTTCCCTTGGGTGTGCGCAAGGTAACTACCCTGGAGAAGGCAGAGGGAGCAACGGTCAAGATGACGTGACCAGGGCCTGGCCCGATCTCCTGGTCACACCTAGGGGGTGAGGGCCCCAGAGCAGCCCCCCGTCCACTGGGACAAGTGACTGGGGCCTGGTGCAGGGCAGCCCCGTAGCAGAACTGAACAGAGTGGGAGGAAGTGGACATGAAGCCTGAGACCTTGAAGTCTCAGATGCTGCATCAGCACGTGGAGTGCTGCACCCGCCTCACTCTGGGGGGAGAGGAGCCGGCGGAACTGCTGAGGGTGCGGGCAGGGAAACTCCCCCGGGCAGGATGAAATGTGTCAGGTTCCCAAAGAAGGGGCTGCGCTGACCGCCAGGGAACGCTGGACACCTGTGGCTTTCTCACTGGGGGGGCTCCTGACAGGCTGGTGTGACAGGGGCTCGACCCACTCCTCACAGCACCCAGGAGAGCTCCCCAGAGACAACCCATGCCAGTGTCAGCAGTGTTGACACAAGCGTGGTCACAAACAAACTGGCGGAGAAACTGACCAGACCCTCGGGCTGACTGGGTCTCAGGAGCGCTACAAAGGTCCCTGGGCGGATGCCGTGCCCTGACACACGCATGTGGCAAGGCCGCCCGGTCTCTGGGGGCTGCGAGTGCAGGACAGAGCCTGGCGGCACTCGGCCTTCCAGTGGCTCTCCCAGAGAAGCTCCCCGAGGCCCACGCTCAAGGGACTCGGCACGCTTCTGGCGGTGGGCCAAGGCCAGCGCGCCCCCCCCCCCTGTCTTCTGAATAAGTTCTTCAACTGACAAGCCAAGAGCCCTGAGAGCTGGATGGGGCCTGGGATGGAAGGCGAAGGGGGGGGCGGGCGGGCAGGGCGGGGGCAGGACCGTACCTCATTGTTGTGCAGCGTCAGGCAGAGCTTGCATTCGTAGGAGCCCAGGTGGTTCTTCATGAAGTAAGGGTCCTGGAGAGGGGACGCAGCACCTGTTAGCCAGGAAGCGGCACTGCGCCCCCGGGTGCTGTGCGGCGAAGCCTTCATTTTGGGAAGCAAGGCGCAGGAGGGGGGCCTGTCCTCGGGGCCTATATTCCAATGACTTGGGGCCCGGCTGGCAGGAGTTTCTAAGGCAGCGCCAGCTGGACCACGAGGCGCAGGGGAATGCAGTGTTTCTCAGAAAGGCTGGGGGTCCTGACACGCCGTCAGACCCTGGCCCCAGGCGAGGCAGAGCTGAAACAGCACTGCCGTAGCCGGGTGCGGCCGAGGCTCTGCCCTGCCCTGCCGGCGGCGCAGCACAAGCTGCACATGCGCAGAGGAGTGGCACGGGGCAAACCGAAGGCCGCTGGGGCCACCGCTGTGCGCCTGCGAGCAGGACAGGGGTCCTGCTGAACAAGGGTGTCCTCATAAACAGAGGGGACCAGCTGGCACCTCCGACCTCAGGTGGGGTGCAAATGGACGGGTCCATTCGGCATGCCCCCCGGCGGCGGCGTCTTCCTCCTCTGGCACACGGGTGTAGCGGAGCTGACCTCACAGTGCGCTGCGAGCAGCACCAGGCACGGAGCAAAAACTTGACACAGCTCAAATGTAAAGGGGAACCATGCACTGGTCCAGGCTTTCCTGGGGAACACAGGGTGTGGCTGTCAAGCAGGGCGCCTACCTTATTGATGTCGATGGTCTCCAGCGCCAGCTGGCGAAGCCGCTCCCTGCGGTCACGGTTGCTCTCGGAGGAGGAGGCCACCCCCCCACTCCCGGTCTTGCCCCCAGGGCGATGCTGGAAGTCCATGGTGCCGGTCTCAGGGCGTTACTGGATGTGCTGAGAAATCTGTGGAGGCAAAGCGGAGTTTGTGATGTGGAATGTGGCGGCTGTCAAGGAGGCTTGCCTGGAGCTGGTGATGGGGTAGGGCAGGCGAGAAGAATATGCCCCTCTCATTTCAGGCCTTCACACCCAACTGTACAACTCAAACAAGGACAAGTGTCTGATGACCATGGGGTGGACTGCAGGGGAAATCACTCCAGCTGGAGGAGCACAAGGCTAGGAGACCCACAATGCAATGAAGAAGAGTATAAACAAGCCACACCTCCTCCAGGAAGTCTTCCCAGGCTGCCCCAGCCAGAGACTCGTCTCCCGGCTGCAATTCTACTTCTCTGGCTGAGCTGTGAACTTGCAGGAGCCCCTACTACTTAACATACAAAAGAAACTCAAGATGTGCTTGTGAGGATCCACTTCCGGTAATGAGGACAGCAAGCTTCTAGCTACAGAACCAGAGGCCCCCCTCAGAGGTAAGGACTGTGCACGCAGGTTCATTTGGAGCTAGCAGACCTTTGGTTTTGTCAGGCAAAACAGTAAGACCTCTAGGATCACCTACTGCTATCACTTTGTAAGACAAACTAGAAAAAGAATGTCTCACACCGATGGACAGAGGCCGGACACCAGGGACACATCCTTTGCCAGAAAGCACGCACAGCCGGCTCCAGATCCCACGGGTCGGGGGAAGTGTGCCCATCGGCTGCAGGAGCCCAGCTGCAGCTGCCCTGATCGGTGATTCTCGCTGCCAGCTTCTTCAGAGGATTCTGAGGGGAGGCCCTGCCCTCAGTGGCCACAGGTGACCATGGCCTGCACACTGCCCGTCATGTGTCCGACTTCCCTGCAGAGCCCCTGCCTTGCTGGTGAATGATACGAAATTCCAAAGGGGTACAGCTGCCCTCCAGCCTCTACCACAGTATGGAGCCAGGACCCTGGGAGACAGCACCCCACGTCACTCACACGCCTCTGTGAGAGAAGACAGTTCCTTCCCAGATCTCCAAGGAATCCACGAACAGAAACGCTGAGGCCGGTGCTGACTCAGCAGCTAGCCGACAGGTACATCAGCGCCCCCACTAGCTCTATTCAACAGCATTTCTTTGTAATCCCAGTAAGAGAAGAATCCCAGCTGATGTTAAACGAACATTATTTAAGGAGCTGGTCTTGAGTTTCACTCCACATTCCAGTTTCAATCACTAAAAGACAGAGTGAGGGTTTACTGTGGTGAAAACATACCCAACATCACTAATCCTCAGCGAACTGAATCAAAATCATGGTGAAATATACCTCACCCCTTCCAGGATGGCCATAATCAAAACTCCCCAAAGACCACAAGCATTACCCAGAATGAGGGCTGCAGCTCAGGAGGGGTCTGTGCCCTGCTCCTCTGAATAGGTGGCAGAAAGTCTGGGGTCAGAAGATTGCCACCAATCCATGCTGATGTCCTTACTTCCAATGACATTTCCAGAATATTCTATGGTCCAAAAGAACTAATTCAGAAAGAAGTGACTCAGAAAACACATTAAGAATCAAGAATTTTGATGATGGGAAACCCACCAGGATTACAACTGAGATGGGAAAATGCACAAAATGATGTAAAAAGTAAACTATTATATTATTTATTAAAATTAAAAAATCAAGAATTCCGTGGGACCTCTCCCTGGTGACGCAACAGGTTAAAGCGCAGCACCATGAAGCTCGCCACAGCCGCTTTGTGCGAGTTCAATCCCCAGCCAAGGAGCTGACCCACAGGACGCAGCAGATCTCTCTTGTCCTGCCCGCCGCTCCCCTCAGCTTTGCAATCCGCCTGCTCCCCCCACTCTGTCTCTGGTGAATCCTCTCACCACCCTGCACCTCTGGCCTGTATCTAGTTCTGTGTGCATAAATAAATACATCTTTAAAAAAAATCAAGAATTCCAAAGAGTTTGGGGATAACCCGCTCCTTCTCAAGGGGCCAGAGTAAGCGCCAAGGTCACCTGCCAGACAACTCCATGCCACTGATGTCTCCAAGAGCAAGAGCACCTACGAATGGAACCTAAATGTCTCAGGGAAGCAAAACACTAGCAGCTCCTCAAATGAGAACAAAACAGAACCAACACTGCGCCTGCTTACAGTCCGCTGGACACCCTCCTCGACCCCCCGCAAAGCACTGCCACCCCCTCCCCCGCGAGGTGAGCGCGTCCTTCCCAGGCAGATCAGAATTTCATTCTCAGAAATGCTTGGTGCAGCAGGCACAGTGGCATGAAAAAGCAGAAAAGAGGGGTTCCTTCAAAACCTGCCTACTGCACAGCAGGCCACCCTAGCCCCCACGCCAAGGAGAGCAGGCAGCCCTCCGGGGCCTCACGAGGCTGGTCCAGAGAACACGAGGCAAGCTTCTGAGAGCTGACAGCAGGGCGCCCCGCAGCTTAAACAAGACTCGCCAGGCTCGTTCCTCAAGGAGCAGAGGCTCACAGGCAGCGCTGGCCGCTAAGCACGGACAAATGCAGAGTGTCACATGTACCCCAGAAAAAACAACGCCAACAGAAACCTCCAGGGAAGGTGCTAGCATTCCCCTTACTGACTGAAAAGCCCAACATACCCAGAAACCAGAACAGGGTGCCGAGTGACCAGGTGAATAAAAACAAGTCCTACAAAACAAAGACGTGCTGACTGAAGCAGAAACCTGAATGCCAGTTAGATATGACAGTCAAAGAAATCTTTCATGTAGAAAAAAGATGAAAAAACAGGAAGCAAAGGAAGAAGTTAGATGCAATTCCAAAAACAGGAAAAACGTAGCATGGGATAAAAGAAACATTACCAAAGAGATGAAAGAAAACACGTCAAGATGGAGAGAACCTAACTCTTCATCCCAAAAACTTTAAATAAAAAAACCTCAATAAACAGACTCAAATTTTATGACATGCAGGAAGATCTTAAGTTTCTACTCAAGAAAAAGAAAAACCACACTAGTTTAAGAAAAGCTACACTCTAAAATCTGTGAGAAAACACAATCTGTAGGCATGTGAGTGTATGGACAAGGGGAAATTACAGGAGAAAATAATATAAAGAAGTAACACAGATAAATGCTTTACTTGCAGCACTTTAAGTCCTGGAATACAGGACTCAAACCTGACTGAGCTGAAAAGCTCCGGGTAGCAGAGAAGATGGGGTAGGTGGGTGGGAGGCGGGCAGAACTCAGACCTCACCAATCGCAATGCGAGTTAGCCTGGGCCCCCCTGGCGGCACCAGGGGTTAGAGCTCAGCACTGCACAGCTGTCCGCCACCACTGCAGCACCAGTTCATTCCCAGGCAGGCAGTGACCCACGTGGCGCGGCAGACCTCTCCTGTCGCCCCACTGCTCTCCTCAGCAGTGTATTTCGGTGGAGCTGCCAGTTGTACTCCCTGCTCTGTCTCTGGGGAGTCCTCTCAGGCCTGCACCTCAGTTCTTGTTAAACACATCTTTTTTTTTTTTTTTTAAAGGTTTATTTATTTATGCACACAGAACTGGGGTACAGGCCAGAGGTGCAGGGGCAGTGAGAGGATTCACCAGTGACAGGGAGCAGAACAGGCAGATCCACGAAGTGCACTGCTGAGGGGAGCAGCGGGCGGGTCAGGAGAGCCCTGCCACACCATGTGGTCACCTCCGGGGCAGGCGGGAATCGAACTCATGCAGAAGTGGCTTCAGCTTCTCAGTGCTGCACTTTAACCCGCTGCGCCACCAGGGAGGGCCTATTAACCACATCTTTAAAAAAACAAAGGTTAGCCTATCAAGTCTAAAAGACACACATTCCAAAAAAGTTGTTTACAAAGGTAAAGCCTGTAAGAATTAAGAGGGAAGAATGTGAGCAGGCATGGAGGATTGTGGGGAGCAGACCCCTGGACAAACTGGAATGATCTCCCGCTCACCAACTTTTTGCTTTAGGCTGGTGGGATAATAAACTGACAACACTGAGATTTGCAAGCGAAATGACAGCGGATTAGCTGGGCAGGATGGCTATAGATTTTAGTATAGAGGATAATACTTCGGGAGGAAAAAGGTTAGCAAAAGAGATGCTGCAACTTCAAGGGAAAGTTTTGCTGCCGGGCTTCAGAAACCATAGTCTGGGATGATAAAGTTGTCTCTCACCTCCAGAAGAAGAGAGAAAATTATCTGCAACTTTCAGGGAGATGTAAACTTGGGCAAAGCATCATTCTTGGCTCTATTTAGCCGCCTTCAATTGAAAATAACCAGCATGCCAAGGGGCACTACTTCCTCAAACGTGGCCAATGCATGATTAGCAGAGCTCCTCTTGGTTCTGCGCTGCCAAAGACGGAAAGATGCAGCGCGGCACCCGAGTCCGACCCCCAGGCCTCGCCTGCAAAATGGGGCGAGTCCTGCCTCTACGGCCGGGGAAGCGGTGCTGACCACTCTCCGCAGGACTCGGCCTGACCCAGGGTCCCGGGGCTCCAGAGACCTTCCGAGGCCAGATCCCGTCAGCCACACCTCCGGGCGTCCAGAGGAGTTCCGGTCACACAAAGGCGCCCGGGACCACGTGAGCCGCGACCACTGCCCCCCCACCTCTCTCCTAACGGGTGTCGGGAGAACTCCCAGGGCGCTGGAGGGCGCGGGTGCCGCGGCCGCCACTCTTCAGACGGCGTCTCCCGCCTAGTTCCGCCCTCCGACCAAAGAAGCCCGGGCGCCGGGGTTACCTGAGCGTCACCTTCGCCCCGCGTCGCACCTCACCCGCACCGAGGCCCGCGTTGCTCGTTTTTTCTCAGTTGCCGCCACGACTTCGCTCTGCGCACGCGCGTTGCGGGCAAAGGAAACGCTTCCGGGGGCAAATAGGGTGGGGCTTCTCGCTTGCGCATGCCCCTAGCGACCGGAGTCGCCCGCAAAGTCCAAGGGAAAGGGCCCGGGAGGCGACGCGCGCGTGCGCACCAGGTTCCCAACGCCCTTTTCGTCTGGGCCAGTTTTCGCGGGAGGGCGGCCTGCATTTCTTAAGGCTCTGCTTGCTCGTGTCAGCAGGAAAAGAGCGTGGGGGGTTTCTGTTTCCACCCTACGCTTAGTTTCTCTCAGACGTAAATAATAAAACAACATCTCGCTGCTAGTCCGTGAACCCCATGAAGCCTCCGCAGGGCTCGGTAGCCCCGGGATCGTCAACGCCACGGCCAATGATTGACAGGAGCTGCGGCCTGGGTGCACGCAGGCGCAGTATCTCCGTCAACGCTTCCGCCATCGCGCCGTGCGACTTTTTTGGCGCCGACTGCGGCGCGAGCGGGGACGGCCCCCGGGAGGCTTTCGCGTCCTTGCTGTGGCTGTGGTCCCCGGCGGCACGATGCGCTACAACGAGAAGGAGCTGCAGGCGCTGTCCCGGCAGCCGGCCGAGTTGGCAGCCGAGCTGGGCATGCGGGGCCCCAAGA